CTTTCTCTCAATATCTCTCTTTATAATTTTTTTCTCAATATCTCTTTTCTCTATCCTTTTTTCTCAATATCTCTCTTCTTTATCCTTTCTTCTCAATATCTCTCTTCTTTATTCTTTTTCTCTCAATATCTCTCTTCTTCATCCTTTTTCTCAATATCTCTCTTCTCTATTCCCCCTTTTTTCTTTACTTTAAAATCCCTTTCTTTCTCAATTTCTTTTCTTCACAGCTTCCTTGTTAAGTTTTCTCTCCTTCTTAGCTCACTGCCTTTCTCAATTTCCTTCCTTAGCATCCTTTCTCAGTTTTATCCCTCTTTTCTGTTTTTTTCCTCTACATTGTCTCTCTGAAATGTTAAGTCTTAAAAAATTGAAAATGAATCCACTGCTTAACATTTGTGTAAGAGAAACATTCAATCCAATACGATTTGAAGTATCCTTTACATAAGAATTCTATTGATGCAATCATCCAAACCAATCATTTAAACTACAATTGTCCCGTGTATGGATATCCATTCATTTCTTACATTCTTACATATTTCTCATTTGAGAATGATTCATCCAGGCCCGCAGCTAGGGGGCACAGGGGCACAGAGTGGGTACACTTTCAGAGACAAAATTGAAGAGAATGAAAAAATTAAATTAAGGAAACGAAAAAAGAAAAAAAGAAGGAAAAAAGAGAGAAACTTGACCTAAAATTTAATTTTTGTTACGAACATTATTTGTAAAGGATTTTTTTTCTTCAGATTAAAATAAAATTGAGTGCTTTCTTTAAATAAATCATTTGGGAATTTTTATTTCTATCCTGTCTTGTGAAATGAAAAGGGTTTATGTTTTCTTGTATTTTGGAGACTAATTCTTTTCCATTCTTTTATTGAATTAATGAACCGTCGTACTTTTCATACAGCAAAACTTAAAACGTAACATATTGACAATTCTGTTTGTTCTCATCCTGAAGATAGCAAGGGAGTCTTTTTCCAATTTTAGTTTGCGAGAAATCTGAAGATTTTCATTCTTGAGCTTTTTTTATCTTTCCCTGTATGAAGAATAAGTTTTGGCTAACTGTGATTCAAAAATTTTCAGTCTTACTTTTATTTCTTGTTTAACTCAAATCTCTACATCTTATACCTCCAGTTTTTTTTTGTTTTGATGCAAATAGCTTCTTAATTATTCAATGGCAACTAAGCGAAAACAGGCAAAGTATCTATCTTCAACAAATATAATGTGTGATAAATTAAAAATCTAGTTTTTAGTCTACATTCATTAATTTTACCCAGTACCCCTATTGAGTTTTTTTTCAGGTTAAGCAAAATTTTCGCCTTTGGGGCGCCCCTTACTTAACTATCTATTCTTTTTTCACTGTTGTGCCCCCCCCCTTAGAAATTCCTAGCTACGGGCCTGGATTCATTTCATCCATGATGTACTTTTATGGACTTATACAAGGTTACCAGTAAATGGCGAGATTTCAAGATTTTTAAAGGATTTCTTGGATTAAACCGCCCATGTTATTTGATGTTGTTACAATGCAAATAGTTTTACTTATACACTACACAATATATGTGTCTCATGTTTGTTAGACTATTTAAAGTCATAATTTGAGTCTAAAAGTCGTTTTCCTATTCTAGAGTTTTATGGTTCTCACTGCAAAAGAAATATTAATCACTTTAGACCTAGAGTCTGGTTTGTCAATTGCGTGTGAATTTAAGTAATTTTGCTGAGTATCCATGATAATTCTCATAGCATCAGATATTTCATGTCTCATTAAAGATGGCCACCACAAACCGTAATCTTATAGATTGCAAATATTTTGTGGCATTTAGATTTAGAATTATCTACAGTCGGTTCATTTATCGTTAAATTAAAAACCGAAGTTTTAGCAAACTTTCAATAGTTTCGAAATGTTCGATTTTGTTGCAAATTTTCGAAAAATTCAAATTTTTGATGGATATGTTTAGGATAGCAAACATTTGCCTCATGCTATCTGAGACCCAGTGTATACAACACAAAAGTGAAAATGTTCTATTTAAATGTTTAAGTATCTCAGATTCCCTTATATTCCCCCAAAATCCCCCAAAACGCCTACACTATCCACACTATTTGTGTCATTTGATGACAAAAAGTTTTTAAAAAATCTAATTTCCCGCACCTCTGTTCCCATTTAGACACCAAATTGGTAATTAGATGTGATAAGAAAGCAATTGACAAGATTCATTGTGCAATAAACATTCAGTTTATCTTGAATAAAATTTAAGAATAAAGTTTTTTACAGTAGAGAAAGTTATAAAGCTCTCGAAAGGGGGCCAGGCCATGGGAGAGAGAAGGGTAGAAAGATAGACATAAAATGTAATGTTAAGTGAGAAAAGCGGAGATAGAGAAATGTGAGAAAAGCGGAGATAGAGAAATAAAAAAGATAAAGGTATTTACCGCACGCAACTAGGCTTTCAAGACGCTTCGCACCTGTCTTCTGTGTTGTTTGTGAACATTGTAAAACAAGAAAAAAAGTGTGCGGATTTTAAGAAAAAAATTCGTCGATTTTTAAAATTTAATGAGAAAAGACTTTTGTCGGGGGCTAATTTTTGAAATTTTGATCATCCATAAACCTTCCTTGGAGTCATGTGAGGTCCCACACAAAATTTGGGCCCGATCAGTTCAGCCGTTTTGACGTTTGTTGGATACAAACAGACAAAGAAACAAAGTTTCAGACAAGCAAAGTATTTAAATGCAGAGGAAAGAAAGTGGTGGCGAAAAAAGAAGAGGGTAAAAAATGAATGGATGACAGGAAAGAAAAAACTGAATGGACGACAGGAAAGAAAAAAAATGAATGGACGACAGGAAAGAAAAAAACTAAATGGACGACAGGAAAGAAAAAACTGAATGGACGACAGGAAAGAAAAAAATGAATGGACGACATGAAAGAAAAAAACTGAATGGACGACAGGAAAGAAAAAACTGAATGGACGACAGGAAAGAAAAAACTGAATGGACGACAGGAAAGAAAAAAACTGAATGGACGGCAAAAAAGAAAAAAATGAATGGACGACAGAAAAAAAAACTGAATGGATGACAGGAAAAAAAACTGAATGAACGACAGGAAAGAAAAAAAACTGAATGGACCACAGGAAAGAAAAAAAAACTGAATAGACGACAGGAAAGAAAAAAAACTGAATGGACGACAGGAAAGAAAAAGAACTGAATGGATGACAAGAAAGAAAAAAACTGAATGGACGACAGGAAAGATTAAAAAGAAGCTAGGAGCAAAAGAAAGGAAAAAAACAGGACAGTATAAAGGATTGAAATAAGAAAAAGAATAGAAGATAAAGAAAAGAGGAATAAAGAAATAGAATAAAGGGATGGGAAGGAAAGGAAAGGAAAGAGGAATAAAGAAAGAAAAGAAAGGGATAGGAAAGAAAATGAACTAAATGGAAGGAAAAATAAAGCAAGAAGAAGAGTGGGAGGAAAGAGAAAAGGATAAGAGGGAGAGGGAAGGAGAAAAAATAAAATGAGAAGGACTATATAGCTGATGTCAGTAAATCTATAGGTTTGTTGTACATTATTAAATGAAACAAACTTTTCGGTTCCCTTATTTTTGACTAGGTCAGAAAAGATTGCTTTGCATAAAAGAAAATTTCAAAATTGTTAACTTCGCTCTTTTCTTTGATTAATAACTTTCTGAAAACTCAATAAAGTTTCTGCAAAAAATTGATTTATTGCTTGCTAATGCTAACTTGTAAATGTATAAATCTAGTTTGTTTAAAAAGCAAAATCAAGAAATTGTAAATAAGTTTCTAAATCTCGATACATGAGAGGTCGAAGGGGTAGTAACAGATTTTTATTTATAATTTTCGAGACTTCTTGGGAAAAATAAAATTTGGGTTTTAACTTTCTTGTTTGTCGTTAGAGTTACTAATCGGAATTCTGTTGCGCGGAATTGTGCGGAATTACGTGAAACCCTGTTGTCATTCAAACCGATTCACACAGCAATTCAAACTAGCCAAATCGGACCGTTGCTCTTGGCTGTTCTTTCCAACCCATTCATAGAATTGTGTAGCCCTGGAAATGAGTATACTATGTTTTGTAAATGTTGTGGTTTTACATAAAACAAACCTAAAAAGATAATGATTCTGACACGTCCTAATCATTTTACCTTACTTTATTCTTATTTTATTCAAATTATGGTTGAAAAAAAAGAATGTAGGAAGAAAGCAGCATCATCGGAGTGCTACCGGAGACCCCAACCGCTACCATACCGGAGACCCCAACATTGTCAACGAGACCCCGAAGTTTTCATCTGAGACCCCAAATAAATAGTTAACATTTTTGAAAATGTAAATTGCTTTTTATGGAATAAAAACCTATATAAATTTATTTTATAATAAACTTTTAAATTTGGATATTATTTTATGCATTTACAAAGAAATCTACAACATTTTTAAAAATTTTTAAATTATCGGTCGTGTTTATTATTCATCTCCTTATTAGACTTTACACCCGCCCTCCCTCTCTACCTGTTTCCTCAATATTCAACCCCCCCCCCCACTTCTCCTCCTCCTCCTGTTCCGGTATATTTTTCTATTAATATAAAGTTGTAATTTTTGCTCTATTTGTGTATAAAATGCATAAAACTATATCCAAATGTAAAAGTTTATGATAAAATAAATTTTTTAACATTTTATAGAATCAAGAGTATTTTAAATTTTCAAAAATTTTAACAATTTTATTTGAGGTTTCCGATGAAAACTTTGGGGTCTCCGTTGATGATGCTTTCTTCCTGGACTCGAAAAGAATCCCTGAAATATATTTGTTTATTTATCTAATTAACCCAATGGCTGTAAGTGTTTTTTTACTCACGGTAACCTTACTCCGTTCTCCTCTCTCTACCCGGTTTCTAGGAAGCTAAGCCCGGTCTTGAACCCACGTGTGTTTCCTGTATCCGTTCTCTATCCATCCTAAATAATTAGCGGGAAAGAAAACGGAAAGTTCGTATCTCGGAGAGTTGCGCCGTGAGTCCTGAGCGGAGCGCGCTGTGCGCTCAACCTTGAGCTTCCAATTCAGCGACAGTTCTTAGAATGTCCTTCTGATGGAAGGTAGAGAAGTGAATAACAATGTGAAGGGGAAGGTGGTTGTGAAGGATGCTGAGGAGTGGTTGTGTGTATCCAGGTTACCTCCGGATACAACGGAGGAGGAGTTCTATGATATCCTCTCAGAGTTCGGAGGAGTTGAAGAGAGTTTTCTTATACATTCAGATATACAAGGTTCGTACAGTACACATGCTAATCTTATTTCGTTGACAGTGCAGCTTATATAGTACACAGTACACTATATATAGAACAACAAGTTGATGGCTAGCTAGCTGTGGTGAAGTAAGATGCACTTTAAACTAATATGTTTTTTTATATAAAAATTGTGCTGTAGTTTCTGGGAGTAAAGTACTCAGTACTACTCAGAGTAAATTTTTTTTACGTACCTTTCAGAAACTTCAGTACAATTTTTTTGAAAACAGAGATATGAGGGTTTCTGGTGTATCTTCCTGGCGTGTAATGCACAGTACAGTACACAGTACAAATGGGGTTAATAAGGGTAAATAAACCTTTAATGGTATCTCCTTACCGTTTCTATCCTCTACTCTGTAGAAAATACGGCTTCCATGTGTTATTCACCAAGTAAAGTTCAACAATGTTTATAATATGTCAAAGAATATATATTTATATATATATAAAGAGGAGAAATATTATATCTGATGTTGCTTTGACAAGAAGTCATTCTCAATTGATTTTTAAATGTTAAACTTTTTGGAGTAACGTTTTTTTTACTTTTCATTTATCAAACTTAGCAATTTTTTTATTGATCACATGTTGGTTATCAAAGGAATTTAGTATTTACCACAAGCTCTGATTTTCTAATCCCTATATCTTTGCAACCCAATGTCGAAGACCTTAGATATTTCAAACTATGAATTCTGTTATTTTAGTTAATCTAAGTTTGAAATATCAGTTAGATTTACACTATCCGTTTGCAAAGATAAAGGGGTTAGAACGTGGCAAAAACACAGTTCCTTTACTCAGCATTTATACAGTCCACTTTAGCTTGAGGAAAAGTTACATTTTAAAAAATATTTTTAAAGAAAACTTTACAAAGCCAATTGGAAAAAATTAACTAAAAAGTTTTTTTAAAACTATTAATAACATAAATAATCTTTAGATTATTAGTTCGTAGGCCCATCATTTTGACATAAAAGAAGTTCTCAAATAATTATTAATTAGAATGTGGAAAGAAAGAGGAAGAGGGACAACATGTTGGTCTGAAATTTGTTTGAACAAGAAGTATTTCTTGTTGAATTTCTTGTTGGTTTAGCATATGATAGATAGATAGATAGATGGTTTCCAGCTGTACTCTAAACCATACAGATTATCTTAACCTTGGGAGAACCAGTCTTCAAGGCCGTTAAACGGCTAAGAGGGAGAGGGGTTAGAATGGAAGGGGGAGGGGGGGGGTTAAGTTTTCACAAAGAAATGGGGAGAGAAAGGGGTTTTTTAAAGGTATATTAGATATACGATCGAATACATGGAGAGAATAAAAAATAAAAATACATTTTACGAGAAAAACTTTTGAGAAAGGAACTGAGTTTTTGCCACAAACTCAAATTTTCTAAACCAAATACTTTTGTAACCTGAGGGTGTGATCCTTTGATACTTCAACCCTAGACTATATTTGATCTAACAGAATTCATAGTTTGGAATATCAAAGGTGTACGACGTTGGGTTGCGAAAATCTAAAGATTAGAAAATTAGATTTTGTGGCAAAATCTCGGGTCCTTTTTAGAAAAGGGGCATGGTTTCATGGTTGCAAGGGAAAGCAGGGGGGGGGGGGGAAGGGGAAATCATCAAGGATTGGTTTATTTATCTAAGCTATTTGGAGATATATAAACACTTCGTACAAGGAGAGAAAACATTTTTTCATGTCACATCTTGAGATGATACGACACATTCCAGCTACCCAAACCTGACGGACACACATACATATTGGGAAATAGAACGCAATATTATTGATTAATGTCAACTTGAATCAAAGTTAAGAGTTTGACACAACCTAATTATCCTCCAGGCTTTCACAAATATTATACAGAAGATAAAAAACTGTGAAGTTTAATTTTTAGATCTATAGATAACTAATTTACTAAACAGTTTCCATTTAACAAAATTTTGTTGTTGCTCCTACAGAGATGAAGATTTTAGCACTAACTTGCTTGATATACGATAAATAAAAGTTTGAACAGTTTTGGGTTCTAAAAAGCAATGTAAAAACAACTATGTAAAAGTTTACTTCCGGAGTTTCAGGGATCTAAATCCTTCAAAGTTTACTACGATAGCTCAATAGAGAGTTTACTCCTATAACTCTATAGAACTGGATCCTTCAAAGTTTACTGCGATAGGTCAATAGAAAGTTTACTCCTATAGCTCTATAGAACTGGATCCTTCAAAGTTTACTGCGATAGGTCAATAGAAAGTTTACTCCTATAGCTCTATAGAACTGGATCCTTCAAAGTTTACTGCGGTAGCTCAATAGAAAGTTTACTCCTATAACTCTATAGAACTGGATCCTTCAAAGTTTACTGCGGTAGCTAAATAGAAAGTTTACTCCTATAACTCTATAGAACTGGATCCTTCAAAGTTTACTGCGATAGGTCAATAGAAAGTTTACTCCTATAACTCTAAAGCACCTTATCCCTTAAAAGTTTCTTCTGTAGCTTTATAGCGCCTTATACATTAAAGTTCACTACGTATCCTTTAAAGTTTACTCCTATAGCTGTATAGCACCTTATCCTTTAAAAGTTACTCCTATAGCTCGGAGCACCTTATTCTTTAAATATTTCGGCACCACGTGTAATAGTTCTAACGATCAATAGTTCAAAAAACTTTTAAGTTTACTTCTATAGCTGTATAGCACCTTATTCTTTAAAGATTTCTCCTATGTAGGCATCTTATACCTTAAAGATTTCTCCTATGTAGGCATCTTATACTTTAAAGATTTCTCCTATTTATACTTTAAAGATTTCTCCTATAGAGGCATCTTATCCTTTAAAGTTTACTCCTATATAGGCATCTTATACTTTAAAGATTTCTCCTATAGAGGCATCTTATCCTTTAAAGTTTACTCCTATATAGGCATCTTATACCTTAAAGATTTCTCCTACATAGGCATCTTATACCTTAAAGATTTCTCCTATATAGGTATCTTATACTTTAAAGATTTCTCCTATATAGGTATCTTATACCTTAAAGATTTCTCCTCTAGCTCTATAGCATCTTATACTTTAAAGTTTACTCCTCTAGCTCTAAAGCATCTTATCCTTTACTCCTTTATATATCCTGCTACTAGGCCTATAGAGCAAGGAAGACCTGGAAACTAATGAGTGTTGTCAAAATTATGATACTTTAAAACAAACTCAATTTTTCCTCTTATTGTGTTCGAAATTACTCCGTTAAATAGATTTTTCTCCACTCAAAACTATAATTTTGCATTTTAATTATGATTTGTATCGGTTAGATAACTTTGCATACCAAATTAGTAAGATGTACCGATTTTAATCAAGCTGATGAAAATTCAGTAGTTTAGTCCTAAATATCTAAAGCTTCGAATTTTATTTTAGAAAAAAAGTTGATTTAATATTATTTCAGATCAAATCAGAACTCCGCATTTTTCAATGTTGTTTTGTTGCTTTTTTAAGGAGAATATTATCTGTTCTGGACTATTTCTAATTTTATCGATTCCATGGATTAAATAAATAATAATGGAGTTCCAGTACAGATGTTGATACTAGTTTCTCAATATCAAGGTTAGAGAGACAGGTTCAGGTTCAGGGTAGAGTTTCCTGTACTGTCCTTAGCCCGGAGATACCAGACCTAAACTTGCTGGTTTCACGCATTCAGCCTTGTTTCCTTCCCACCTTTTTAGGCGGAGCATTTTCCTCAAGTTCACAAACTTTTTCATGCTTCTGTTCAAACCTTTATGATATTTACAGGGGTCGTTACTTCTGCAAACATGTTGGCTATATTCTTTTAAAGGGACCGTTCACTTATACGGGAAATTTCATAGTAAACTTAATAGCTTATTACCTAATCTTTGGTATTATAAAACCTGTTTGCCGGAGTTCTGAAAGATAAATAGGCTTTTTCTCCGACCAGTGTTATCTTTGAAAAGTCAGAAAAATACCAATGAATAGCTAATAGGTCATTTAGTTTTCCCTAAAATTATCTATATAAGTGAACGGTCCCTTTGAAAGAATATAACCACCATGTTTGCACAAGTAATGATTGGAAGAAATCTATCCACGCGGGGTTTCATAATATATCTTCGCTAACATATCTCAAATGGGTTTTGTCAATGTATCGCTCCAGGGTTCGCTAAAGTATCGCCCTCCCCCTGGATTTGCAAATGCTGAACTCGTATTTCCCAATCCTGTATGAATAATGAAGGATGGGTGGCCATCAGAGGTTTGAATATTGAATATTGAATTGAATAGATTCTCCAGGATGTATATATATTCAGGATACTCTCGGGCGTTTCTTTTTATTCAAAATCAGAGATAGGAATTAAGGATAGGGACCAAGGATAGGAGCCAAGGATAGGAACAAAGGATAGGAACAAAGGATAGGAATCAATGATAGGCACCAAGGATAGGAACCAAGGATTGGAACCAAGGATACGAACCAAGGATAAGAACTAAGGATAGGAACTAAGGATAGGAACAAATGATAGGAACCAAGGAAGGAACCAAGGAAGGAACCAAGGATACGAACCAAGGATAGGAACTAAGTAAAGGAACCATGGATATAAATCAAGGATAGGAACCATGGATAGGAACCAATGGTATGAACCAAGCATAGGAACCAAGGATAGGAACCAAGGACAGGAACCAAGGATACGAACCAAGGCTAGGAACCAGGGATAGGAACCAAGGATAGGAACCAAGGATAGTAACCGGGGATAGGAACCAAGGATAAAAACCAAGGATAGGAACCAAGGATAGGAATAAATGACAGGAACCAAGGATAGGAACCAAGGATAGGAGCCAGGGATAGGAACCAATGACAGGAACCAAGGATATGAGCCAAGGATAGAAACTAAGGATATGAAACAAGGATAGGAACAAATGATAGAAACAAAGGATAGGACAAAGGAATAAGAACTAAGGATAGAAACTAGAATAGGATCAAAAGATAGGAACCAAGCAGAGGAACAAAGGATATACACCAAGAATAGAAAAAGTAATCCAAGATAGGAAAAGGTTCCAGGCCACTGAGTAGAAAGATATTTCTTCTCCAAGATTGCAAAATATATGAACCTGGAGCTAATTAAAAAATGTCACGTCATGTACAGATAATAGCTCGGGTCGACTCACTCACGACTCACGTCTTATTCTAATCCATCCAGGATTTTTTTTCGAATTGAACAAGGGATTTGAATCAGAATAAGGATACAGTTATTATTTATGGAATGTTATAATAGAGTTAAGTTGCTGGAATGAACAAAATATAGAGGATGGATTATAGGAGAGGATGGAGTAGAGAAAAGGATGGAGTATAGGAGAGGATGGAGTAGAGAAAAGGATGGAGTATAGGAGAGGATGGAGTAGAGAAAAGGATGGAGTATAGGAGAGGATGGAGTAGAGGAAAGGATGGAGTATAGGAAGGGATGGAGTAGAGGAAAGGATGGAGTAGAGGAGAGGATGGAGTATAGGAGAGGATGGAGTAGAGAAAAGGATGGAGTATAGGAGAGGATGGAGTAGAGGAGAGGATGGAGTAGAGGAGAGGATGGAGTATAGGAGAGGATGGAGTAGAGAAAAGGATGGAGTATAGGAGAGGATGGAGTATAGGAGAGGATGGAGTATAGGAAAACTATAGGGAGAGGAGTCTGAAGCTGACCTTGCTTGCTAGCAGAGAAACCTAGCGCCTGCGCTTCTCGCCCTAAACCTTGGTTTGGGTTTGCTCTCCTTGACCCTAGGTTGGGTAAGGTACCTAGAGCTACTAGCACCAGCCGTCATGGCATCATTAGACTTTTTGTCCCTTGCTCCAGTGTTTACCACCAAGTGCAAGATTATAAAGATGATATATCAGAGTTGTATCTAGAGTTCGTAATTTTCCGAAATTTTGTTGATAATTGATTAGTTCAAACCGTAGAACCTCAAATTAAATCCATCGCGTTGAATGGCCTTTTTTAAAATATTTTTTTTTCTACTTACTTATAGAACATCATAAGATTTGTAGGCAAATGTAGAAACCACGGATTCATTTTTATAATTCGATATATGTTCTGAAAAAATAGATGTTTTCATCTAATAAGCATGGAACGTCAAATTAACGTTTCGATCAGACGATTTGAACTTATTTGTAAAGTTAATAATGTTGATTTTTTGGAAATTGAAATAAATATAAATTTTTCTTATCATTGAACAATAACTTGCTTGTCGTTAACATTTGAAATACATACTTATTTAATCCTTCGGATAGAACACAAACAAACACACCCACACTCAAATATGTTCATTGACACACCTTAATTACTAGAAATGCACCCCTACCCCCTCTCCCTCCTTACTTACACCTGTCTCCTCCCCCTAGCCCTATACGCCCTGTTTCTTCTCTTCATTACTCATTACTCAACTAAGCAATGGATAATGTGCATACATATACATACAATACACATACACCCCATCCAATACAGAGACATAATTACTAAGTGTTTCTCTGTTTTCTGTTTGTCTCTTCTCTCGTTGTATCTGTTTCTGTAAGCAGATCATACACCTTTCTGTTTACCCCTACATTTTCTGTGTCTGTTTCTGTTTCCAATATTCCTTGGCGCGAATTTTCCTGTTTATCTAGATCATCCGAATATCCAGAATCTTTTCTCTTTCCTGTTTATCTAGACCATCCGAATATCCAGAACCTTTTCCTTATTCCTGTTTTTGTATCCTTTTCCATCTATCTTGTCCTCCCCTTTCTTCTTACATTATTTCTGTTTCGTTTTCTTTACGAACCCCTTCTGTTGTCTCTCTCCGTCTTAAATCTGTTTCTATGTCTGTCTCCGGGTTAGATATAAAACAGAAGGACAGGGTTAACGCCTAGTTTAACTCTATACCCGGAGAAGATTAAAAGCCTAGTTTCAACACGAATCTTTAATCCTTGGAAAACATTTCTTATTTCTTTTCATTCCAGGGGTTTACATTTCACCAGTTTCAGTAAATTTAACATTTTCGTCCCAGTCATGACGATATCTGTATCCCATATCTCTCTCTAGCCTTTCTTGAGAGAACGGAAAACATACTTCGTTAAATGATTTGCAGCTTATGGGTTTAAAGCTTGTGCACAGGGTTTACAAGCGAAAATGACATTGAGTTAAAGGTTTAAAGTTTTAGTGAAATTGAAATTCGGTCTTAATTTCGAAATTCTGAAATTCAGCTTTTTTCAACAGTTTAAATGCCATTTTTCATTAACAAGTAATTTGATACAATCATTTAAAGGAAAAGGATAAGAGCGATGTTTTTCATCCAAACTGAGATTTAGCATGAGATATTTCCAAATATTCTCTGTTTCCTTTTTAATTGAAAAATTCTATGATTAGCGTTGAACAACTAGCCTTGACAGCAGGATATATATTATCCTTCTTATGTACTTACTTATTATATATTGTCTAATCTATCAGTCTATCTAACTATTTACCTATCTATTTATCTATCTATCTATCAATCAATCTGCCATCTTTTTTCTATAAATTCTATCTATCAATTTATCTATCCGTCTAACTATATTCTATCTACCTATCTGTATATTTATCTATCATCTATCTACCTATCTATCTATTTATCTATCATCTATCTACCTATCTTTCTATTTATCTATCATCATATCTATTTATCTATTTATACAACATAACATTTCTAATTCTATCTTTTCCTTACTTTTATCATCATCCTAGTAGATTATTAAGTCTGATCTCTGGTTTGATATATTCATGAGATTGTAGAATTGTATCTCGGATAAAAATGCGGAAATGGAATTGTTTCCGCTTTTCGGTTTAGATTTGGTTTCACCAAACTCTCAGAAATCTAGTTTTTAATACCGTGTTTAAAATATTATGATTGTTTTCTAAGTAAAAATGGCAAAAAAAGAACTGAGTTTTGCCACAAACTCAAATTTTCTAATCCCTATATCTTTGCAACCTAATGTTGTAAACCTTTGGTATTTCAAACTTTGACTACTTGATCTATTCATAGTTTGAAATATCAAAGGTCTACGATATCGGATTGAATTGTGGGATATAGATATAGGGATTTAAAAATTAAAGTTTGTGGCAAAAAAAACATTTACCTCACTGCGGGTTCTATTTTTTAATTAAATTTGATAAAATATAAAAGTAAATCCCCCCCCCCCTCCCCCATACGCACACTATTAAAGTATTGGCTTCACATTTGTTTAAATTAATTTGCATTGTATGGTTGTGTATAAATCGTTAAATCATGAACTGTAACCGTATTCAAGGTTAAGATTTGTACTTGATCAAACCATTGTTATCACGTTTTTCTTTTACATTGTTCTTCCCTCCCTCTCTACCACCCTCATCTTTTCTTCCCTCCCACTCTCCCAACCTAATCTTTTCTTCCTTCCCTTTCACCCTCATTTTTTCTTTCCTAACTCCTTCACTCCCACCCTAATTTTTTTTCCTTCCCAATTAAGAGGATTTATGTAGTATGATATTAGAAGGATCTAGGATGGTATTATTAGGATTTAGGATGGTATTAGGAGGATCTAGGATAGTATTAGGAGGATTTATATAGTATGATATTAGAAGCATCTAGAATAGAATTAGGAGGATCTAGGATGGTATTAGGAGGGTTTAGATTAGTGTTAGGAGGACTATAGAAGGTATGAAGGAGCTAGAATGATGTTGAAAAAGTGGGATGATAGAATAGTGTCTATATCTAGGATAGACTTGAGATCTAGGATTGAGTATGAGAATTCCATGGTAAATGTCCTAGCTCTATTAGCATTCCTGAAATCTAACAAAGAAAGATTTGGTTAGTGGAGCAAGTTTGAACACATGTATTGATACCATCAGTGCACGATCAACTTGAACTTTTAACAATAAATCCCCCCCCCTCTCAATTATCAGAAACATTCAACCTTCCAGGAGCTGTAACTGGGAAGAATTAAGTTCTCTGAATCAGAACGGATTAAAACAGAGATTGTCCTGCTCCGACTGTTTCATACAGCTTAAATCTGTTCCGGATACTTAATTCAAACAAATATGACGTCAAGTTAGTTCCTGGACAATTTCATATCTCTTGATAATAACTCAGGAAGAAAACGATAAAATCTCAAAGTTCAAAGAATAATAGTAGAGTGCGAAAACATAAGATCTATGAAGAGATGAGAGATGATGAGACTATTTTAAGTAAGAGAGGGAGAGAGTCTTCCTTGGGCCTAGAGCAAGGTTTTAACTAAGATCTGAGAGATAAATCCTGGATCCATCAAGATTACGCATCTTTCATCCTCTGCCCTGCAGACAGCTTGTATCTTTGGAAACATATGCAAACAAATATTTGAGGGGCGGGGCGGGGGACATTTATAATATTTTTAACAATTCTACACACAATTCTAAAAATTGTGTTTCCACGGCCTTGGTCAAACCTTTCCGACCCTCTGTATATTTTCTTAGACGTGAGGCCGGATATAGAACAGGAAGAAGTAGTTCAACTAGGAATGGTTAGTTGAAGTACTTCACTGTTTTCATTAATTCGGACCTCTGGATATAAAGACTTTAATACTTAATATTAGTTTCAAAGGAGTAAAAAACTGAGTTTTTGCCACAAACTCAAAATCTCTAATCCCTTTGCAACCTGATGAAGTAAAACTTTGATATTTCAAATTTAGATTATATGATCTAACAGCATTCATTATCAAAGGTCTACGACATCGGGTTGCACAGATATAGGGTATTGAAAATCAGAAATTCCTTTGTAAAATACTGTTCGTAAACAATTACTTTTTAGGATATATTACTTATGAATACTCAACAAAAGTATTGTTTAGTTTTCTTACAGTAAAAACATTAGATTTTAACGTTAATGTTCTATTTTAGGTTGGAGTAAAGGGTACGGGTTGGCCAGGTTTCGAACTCCCTGTGCAGGTTTACAGGCTAGACACGTCCTAGAGGGAACCCAGCTCCGGGATCATACTATAGAGTGCGACTGGTTGAAGGAAGGGGTTTACTCAACCCTAGATCTACACAGTAAGGTAAACACTGGGTTCAGAGTAAACAAACATTTTACAATCATCGTTATTATCATCATTATGCTGTTTGTGTGTTTGTACAGTGGTTTACATTAAGTTTTGCAAAATATACTTTGGTCATGTGTTTGGTCATGAGTGGGTGCGCGTTGTGAGTGTGCAAAGTGCGCGTTAGGAGCACGTGATATCAAGCTGGATATGCATTGACCCAAGATTGAGAAAGGTTTAATCATATATCTGGAGGAATTATGCAATCTAACCTTCTTATAAGATTTAGTTTAGCTTTTAACCAGATCCAATTCATACATTTCAACATTTATTCTGAGAGAGTCGGAGAGGGTTGGAATAAATTTTTGCATGAAAACATTCAATCATTCAGTGTTGGATGTTATTCATTATTAGGATAAAGGGGGTTGGCATCCAGTTTTAACTTAGAGGGAGTTTAAATGCGTTTTGTGGACAGTGTTCTGGTAAAAAATTCAAGAGATAAACGGCATGAATGGATTAGAAAACCGAAATTTTGTTTTACGCGAACTTAAGAAGATGTTTTTTCTTCATTTCGAGATCGATTTCGTTTTTGCTTAAATCTTCTTTAATAAGTTCTCTGAATCAAATTGAAAATTTCCCTCTTACGGAATAATTCTTTGGTTCTGATGCAATCCAGCCTGGAGTTTCATCCCCCTTCTCCGAACTCTGTACAAGGACTGAAGTTCAGATAAAGTCATTGTGTTGCTTCATCCTTTCATTCATTCCTGCAGGGGGGTAGGATTCCTAGGACGGATACTTCGATACAGAACAATCTACAGATTTAGATTTTTTATTAATGATTTAATCTTACTCTACAAGGGGGGCCTCACCCCCCCCCCCCCCGACTCTTTCGGTGCTAGATCTAATATAAATATCAGAGATGAATTATCCTCGTGTATCCGGTCTTATTAGGTTACATTTAAATTTCTAGGATTGAAGTTTAGGACGGATTCTATGACAGGTTCATAGAAACCTTAGAGCATTTATAAATCAGACATCATACAGGACATTTATCATTGCAAGGATCCATAAATACGACTTTAGTATTTATTTTGGTTTTTAACTATAGTTTAGCTCGTTTTAACAATAGTTTAGCTCGTTTTTGTGTTTGATTTGTATATTTTTAGTAGATGCCGACTAGTAATCAGGGGGGGGTAATGAAGAGTTCATTACGAAAATGAGGTTCAGAGTATTGAGTATCCGTAAGATTTGCAAATTCAGCTATTTTTATCTCTCTGATGATCTTACTTAACTATTTCTTGTCAGTCTTTTCGATCAATTTATATCATTCGTCATAGACAAGATCAAATTTGAGAGGCGTCTTACAAAATTTTCAGTTTATATTCGACTCCGAGTTTAATCAGAGGCAGGGTGTCATAGAAAAATCAAGAGAAATTGAAAATTTGTCGTCACAGCTTAAATTGACATGTTAAAACCCCTGTTTGCTTGAAAATAGTTTAAAAGTTAAATTCTACCCCAGCATATGTACTTTCTTGCAACTTTTTATAGATTTCAAATTTATTTTTAATCTTTGAAGATTTATGAATTCAAAATTTTGCAATAAATCTGAGATGAAATTAAGTCTGAAATGAACAAAGATTGTGAAATAATCCCCCCCTCCCTCTTACCATCCTCGTTTCAAGTTTATATATAAGGTGATAAATCATGATGCTTCCTCCCTCCTCTTCTTCTCACTTTTAATAGTGTTACAATGTTTACGTTAACTTGAGTTTGAACAAAGAATTCAAGACAGGAAGAATCTAATCATATTGTTTTTACATCAGTATTCAAAATTATTTAAAGAAAAACCTAAAAATATGTCCTATAATTGCTGTTTAAGTAAAGAAAACTTCACTTAAAAAGTTTTTTTTGACCTGAGAAATTAAAAACTAGTTGTAGGTAAAAATGGGGAATAGATATTATAGATTGGGGAGAGTAGTAGAGAGTAATTAAGGGTTGTAGGAGGAAGGAGGAAGGAGAGCTAGTAGGAAATAAGGATCGGGAAATGGGAACGAAGGCCCTCAGTAGGACGTATGGGCGGGATAGGAAGGAAGGGGTGTGAAGAAGTATAAAGGCAGGAGGGAAATGAGCAGAAAAGAAGGGGATGTAGTAGACGTGATGGGAGGAGTAGAAAGGAAGTGGACGGAGTAGGAATGAGGTGAGGAGTAGGAAGGAGAGGTGAGGAGTAGGAAAGAGAGGGGAGGAGTAGGAAGGAGAGGGGAGGAGTAGGAAGGAGGGTAACGGAATGAAAATCATTTATCTAATTCCCCCCTATGCAAGCCATCACTCAAAAATTCCCGGCCGGATTCCTGAAGTCGAGCTTCCGAATTCAAACTATTTTCTGCTTGTCTTGACATAAACCTATCCAGGCGTATTCATTCTACTCCGGGTTCTATATTCTGTTTAGTTATCAGGGCCGTATTCATTCTACTCCGGGTTCCATATTCTGTATAGTTATCAGGGCCGTATTCATCCTACTCCGGGTTCTATATTCTGTTTATTTATCAGGGCCGTATTCATTCTACTCCGGGTTCTATATTCTGTATAGTTATCAGGGGCGTATTCATCCTACTCCGGGTTCTATATTCTATTTAGTTTTCTGGGCCGTATTCATTCTACTCCGGGTTCTATATTCTGTTTAGTTATCTGGGGCGTATTCATTCTACTCAGGGTCCTAGGTCCTGTTCAGTTATCAGGGACGTCTTAATCCTACTCCGTGTCCTAGATCCTATTCAGTGATTCAAATTAACAATCTACATAAATGTACAATATATAGCTAAATATCTAGGTTCTGTACGTGGATAATCTACCTGAAGGATACAAGGATATGACAGAATTCAGAAAACTTTTCTCAAAATATGTTTCTCCGCCCTACTCTCAGGTACACATTAACACTTGCACAAGGAAATGTTCATTTTTCGGAAGAAAATATTTGTTTTCCTTATTTTGGGGATTGGAGGAACTTTTGGGGGAGAAAATACGATTATTCAGGGGGAGGGGGTAAGAGTATCAAAGTTGAAACCCTATTTCAATTTCCCTCCTAAATCTTTCCTACGATAGAAGATTAAATAATTAATCTTTTTGTTTTAAACTTGCCTGGAAAACATTTCAGCACCTCCGTCAATTTACAAAAGTTATGAATTTTTAAATTTTACTAAAACTCTTTTTCTCTCGTACATTCTAACATTTTGCACAGAAAGTTAGACAAAAACAGACACACACACAAAGTTACACGTACATTAATTTGCATTGACAAAAAACTAATTTCTCTTTCTTTCTGTTTCTTCTTCTTATATATATAATCTATCCAAAAATGTTTAGAAAGTTAAACAACTGGAAAACGCTTAGTAAAGATAAATTATCTTTTTTTAACTTCTCTTTAAAAATGAACTGTGCAAAATGCTTAAATTGTTCCATTATCATTAAAATAACATGAACATTTCGCACAAGAGATTAGAATTGTTGTTCTTCTGAGTAAATCTTAGTTGCATACCTTACAGTGGAGTTCTATCTTCTAACCTTCTTGTTTATCTTTCGATTGAAATAAACCCGTTTCTTCTTAACTATTTATCTCATCGTTTTTTTTCAGGAAAAAACATTGATTCACATACTTAACATTTTCTTGGCTATCCAAGTATCTTTCTATCTATCTGTCGATTTATCTCTGTTGAATCCGTGCTAGGAAGTTTAGACAATTTACTATTTTCGACATTCTTCAACTCTTTTATCTTTGTTTAAAAGACAATTTGCTCACGCTGTTTTCCTTGATCTTAAGGACCCCCCTCCCCTAACTCACTCACACTTATTCCCCCCCCCCTCCCATCCCTTCCCATTTCCTTTGCTATTTTCACTTCACACTATGGATTACAGCCATAAGGCTATCGTAGCTATAAATGAGATTTAAATTCCTTATATTATGACTAACTTTTTTTGTCAAAAATAACTCGCTCCAACCCCCTCAACTCCTCTTCTCGTTCCTTTTAACCTTCCTACCCCCTTCTAGTGCTAGTGATGGGAAATAACTTTTCTTGAACTTTATTTTTAGGACCGTTCAAGGCATCACCCAAATACTGTAAACTTGTGAAGGTTCCAATACTTTTAAAAATTGTTCTATAAAGCTTTACTTTTCAAAAACTATGCAAATTTTTATTTTTAAAAAACGGAGAAAAAAATAAATTTATAAAAATTTTTCAGTTCGTTATTTGGACACTGCACACTGCATATATCTTCTCTCGGATCCAACTTGACAAATGTACGGAAAGCAAATATTAGAACAAACAGTTTTGAATATTGTAATATTTCTGAGATATTAGAAACTTGTTAAAAAACAAACAAAAGTTTTTGTCCTTCACTACTATTACCCCATACCCACTGGGTCTTCGACAAGCCTCACTTTCATATTCAGTTTACTTTATCTTCTCTAGATTGCCATGAAGAACGGGTTGGTCCAGAACTGGGGGTTGGTGGAGTATAGGGACAAGGAGGACGTAGAGAGGATCTGGAAGGATCGAGACAATCTTTTCCTTGCTGGTTCTAAAATCAGGTAGGTAACCTATTCCTTGTTGGGTCTAAAATAAGATAGATTCTCCTTGTTTGACCGGTAAATCATAGAAAAAACCTATTTCTTATTTTCTAAAAATGACTGTGCAATTGTCTCGAACTAGTCCTTGTTTCTTTAAAATCTGATGTCGTGGACCTTTAATAACTAAAATTATGATTTATAAATAGACAACATTTGAAATATTTAAGATTTACACCATTAGGTTCCAAAGATATATGAATTAGAAAATTAGAGTTTAAGAGACGAGTATTTTGTTCCAGAAGCTTAAAAAGCTTAATTCGATTTATTTTTCTGCAAACATTTAATTCATAAGATACATAATCACCCTGGGATCGGAATGACTAATTTATTTAAATAATATTGTCCCAGATAAAAGAAAAAGATTAGACTTGTTCTATTTTGTATTCTTTAACTTCTGGGGTATCTAAATACCCTTAAATAGTAGAAAAATAAAGAAATTGGGGGCAGTTAGGAATTCGGAATTCATTAAGAGAGATTTACAGGGAATATTCAGCTATAGGACAATATTCAAATAAACTTTATCTCAATGATAAAGATCTTCGCGCAATATATATATACATACATATATATATATATACATACATATATATATATATATATATATATATATGTTAGCAATAGCTGGCTGCAAACAGGTGGACCAAATTGGCTGACATTTAGGAAACCCATGGGTATTGGGTACCCTAGGAATAACTTTGGTTAAAAAATCGATTTTTTTGCTCATATTGTTTTTATTATAAAACACCGGGCACATAAAAACTAAAGTTTCTTTATTATGTAAAAAAATAATGTTGATACGTTTTAGCTATATGAATATTAAATTGAATATATATCAAATAGTAGTTCTCTGTTTATTTGTATGTCCGATCATAACTTAGGAATCCATTGACCGACTTGCCTCAAATTTTGAATGGGGAACTTGGTAGAGCCACGGGACTTATCTTGGCTTGCTTTAAAAAATTTAAGTTGAATGAGTTGACTAGACAGCCAAATTTGTTTTAAAGAAGAAAATTTAATTTAAAAGTGCCTTTTATAGAGCTCTAATATATATTTTATCATATCTAAACCAATACTATTCACAAATTAGTAATTAGGCCATGGACCATTAGTTCAAAAATATCTAAATTGATATTAAACTAAGTATATCGACCATAACATCAAAGATAATGAGACAAAAACACGTTTCTTAAAATTTTTAAAATTGTATTTTGTATTTTAGGATTCAGTTCTGCGTACCAAAGATCCCAGCTATTACTGTCTACATGAACTTTGTGAATAATTCGACAGACAGGTAGAACAGGAATTATATTTCGACGGACAGGTAGAGCAGGAATTATAATTCGACAGACAGGTAGAACAGGCATTATAATTCGACGGACAGGTAGAACAGGAATTATAATTCGACGGACAGGTAGAACAGGCATTATAATTCGACGGACAGGTAGAACAGGAATTATAATTCGACGGACAGGTAGAACAGGAAATATATTTCGACGGACAGGTAAAACAGGCATTAGTACTTCAGTTTAAAGGGATTCTTATTGTTATTTCAAGTTTACTCCAGTCCATTCACAGAGGAGCATGTCCAGTTTACAATGGTTACCCTTGAAATTATAATCTGATCAATAATATGGACGATAATGTCTTCTTTTCAGCTTAGTTTAATATTCAGTAAATTTCTCAATTGTTTCTAAACCAAGAAATGCGTCAGTCACTTTTAAAGAGAAATCACAAATGTAAATAATCTGTTTTAAATTAAAAAAACGTGGATATCTTATATTTATAAACCACCATACTGACCAGGCAGTAGATCATTAATTGTATTTTGAATGCTTCGTATCGTTACGCGAGGTGTGTCTAACATTATACAATATAATTATTTACTGATTTCTGGACAACTGCCATTCTAGTTCAATATACAATTATTATACCGACCCTGGTTTCAATGTCATGGTAATCTACTTTCAGTGCAGATATCTACGTAAATTTCAACCAATTAATGTAGTTCAGTGCAGATGTCTACGTACATTTCAACCAATTTTAATGTAGTTCAGCGCAGATATCTACGTAAATTTAAAACAATTAATGTAGTTCAGCGCAGAGATCTACGTAAAAATAAACCATTTAGTGTAGTTCAGTGCAGATATCTACGTAAATTTAAAACAATTAATGTAGTTCAGCGTAGAGATCTATGTAAATATAAACCATTTAGTGTAGTTCAGCGTAGATATCTACGTAAATATAAACCAATTAGTGTAGTTCAGCGCAAATATCTACGTAAGTATAAACCAATTAGTGTAGTTCAGCGCAAATATCTACGTAAACAAAAACCAATTAGTGTAGTTCAGTGCAAAATATCTACGTAAATATAAACCAATTAGTGTAGTTCAGCGCAAATATCTACGTAAGTATAAACCAATTAGTGTAGTTCAGCGCAAATATCTACGTAAACAAAAACCAATTAGTGTAGTTCAGTGCAAAATATCTACGTAAATATAAACCAATTAGTGTAGTTCAGCGCCAATATCTACATAAATATAAACCAATTAGTGTAGTTCAGTGCAAATATCTACATAAATATAAACCAATTAGTGTAGTTCAGTGCAAATATCTATGTAAATATAAACCAATAAGTGTAGTTCAGCGCAGATATCTACTTATATATTGGTTAATATTGTTTATAGTTTGTGTCCTAAAAACACGAAACTAAATAAATTTTCAGTATTTTATAAATTGGTCCCCTTCGATACTTAAACAGGTTTATATAAATAGTTGGTAATACAGCGTGTCCCACAAAGAATGAGACTGTAAAGACGACTTGGAACTCTTTAAATATAACAATTCCAAATTTGAATTTAATACGTTGAAAATGGTCTTTCAATGGCTTATTCAATGATTTGGCCAAGAGAAAAAAGAAGTTTACATTTGTATATGTTTGGTCAGGTGTATTACAGTATACTAGACTGGTCTTGGGGTTAATTAATGATATATCAAATAAAGCTATTACCATTGCTAGTGATTAGTAAATTGAGATAATTATCAGTTTAATGAATGGTTAATAACTTGACATTGAACTGGAGTAACAATATTTATGAATTTGTAAATTTATCAAATGGTTGCCAAAAGTTGAACCGATGTCAGGGTTTGTTAGGTTTGGTTTTTGTTTCAGATTCAGGAAATGATTTCATAAAAATTATCCACAACAATTGCAAGGTCTCACATAGCACTATGTTGCCAATTTTGAATTTCATTTTGAGAATCTATTTTTCTTTTATTTCAGGGGGGAGAAGAGAGCTTTAATGGAGAACGGACCCGGACAAAGTGTTTATACTCAACTCCGAGCTTTAGCTCGTCATAACCCTGTATTCGTCCAGTCCTTAAACACAATCGTCACACAGAATATACTGGCCGGAGATTCAGATTCACAGGCCGCACTTTCTCTTATTCTTGGAGATCAGAACGGAAACGGGATGGAGAAGATGTTTAAACCTGCTCCAGCTCCGGGTAAGGACGGGACGGATAAGCCCGGATACACTAAGCCGGATCCAAATGGTAAAAATCCGCAACTGATGAACATGTTGTACTCGGCTTTTCAGGCTCGAGTCTCTAAACAGTCAGGTTCAAACTCTTTAACCTCGGAACATTCTTCTCCTCCTCCTCCCCCATCCCACCTTATACATCACAATCCTCCACTCCAACCCAACAATCCTGCAGTAGCATCCCCTCCCCCTCCCTCACAACCTGCTGAACCTGCTCAACAACTATCTAGTCAAGGACCTTTAATGTCGATGCCTCCGCCCCATCCTCCGCCAGCATACCTGGATCCATATCAATGGCAGATGCCCCCGCCTGGACTTCTACCAACCCAAACTGAACTTCATCTTAGTCAACTCCAGTACATGTATCCTCAGTATCTACCGATACATCCTCTCTGGTCTCAAGCTTACATTTCTCCTCTTCATCCTCCTCCTCCTCCTGCTCTTCATCCTTCAACCCAACCCGTCCTGGAGTCAAGTAAGAGAAAACTGTCTGATCAACATTTCCCTGATTATCAAACTAAAAGACTGTGCACTGGAAACTAAATATTACTAGTCCTTGTCCTTGTTTCCATCTGGAGATAAAAACACAACTCTAGTCCTGAAATATCATAAAAGTTAAACCTGAGATAAAGAAGACAATGCTGCTCATTCAAGTCTTAAACCAGTGATCAGGGTCCTAGGGAAACCACAGTGGGCAAAGTCTAACCCTGAGCAGAACTGAAAACAGTGAAATGTTTCCAAGTTTGGATTCAATAAACAGTGGAGTGAGCTTCGCGTGCCATAGAAAAATAGATACGGTTTCATTCAGAAAAAAAAATTTATTCGAAAAAAATTAAAAATTCACATCATACAGTACAGAAAATCATTGTAATTTTGAAAACTTTACTGGAAAAGTTCTAAAAATAAATTGAATTTCTTTTTAAACTTTTTTTTATTTCCCGTCATTTTCATGATCTTTTCCGAATTATACATTTTGTTCCGAATCTAAAACCATAAAATAAACTAGTCAATCTATTTATGTTTTGAAAAACATTTTGTAAACTAGTCCCAGATTTCTGCACTCGGCATTAAACTCGTATTCACATTAGAGTCCTCTTATAAGTGACTGTGATATATGTATTATATAATATTTATAACTTAATTAATTTCAATTATTTTTATTCGAAAACCTGTGTTTTGGACATTTTTTTTTCTGGAAATTTTAGCTTAAATATGTTCAAATATTTCATCAACTCAGAAAACAAATCTTGCTTAATTTTTCACGCTTTAAAAAATGTTTAACAATTGAATATAAAATCTTGCCTTTTTAATCAATCTTGCCAGCGCAGGATATCTACACTATTATAGTCATGTATGTACAAAACAGTACAGCAGACATTGTACAGCAGACACTACAGACTGTACAGAAGCTTAGATAAAGATATTGATGTATATTTTTGCTATTTAAATATATTGTGTCAATGAACATTATTTCATTTTAGTTTTTTTTGTCAGAAAATGCATTTTTAGAGTTCGTTAACTGAACTTTCTCCCTTGCTCTTCACTTTTTCAGATAATTACAATCTTTAGAATATTTTGTATTGAATAGTGTCGGATTGGGCATACCAGGGACACCAGGACACATATCTTTAACATTCTCTATATTCTCCTAATTGAGCAAAGAGTATATTTGCCCAGACTCTAAAATTTGGAGAAAATTTTCTCTGGGCTTCTAGAGTATAGGAAAAAAAACATTTATCCCCACAAAGCTTTTATTTTAAACAAACTCTGAATTTCAAGTTGACTAGGCCTAAGGGGCACTTCTCACCTCTCTTTTTTAATAATGATTTGAACTTTTTGCGGATGTATCTGCAAGCTTTTTTTGCTGACAAAACTCTTGGTTCTCCACGTCTAAAGAGTAGATAAAAATCTTGGTTTTCTAGGTTTTAAGAATAGGTAAAACTCTTGGTTCTCAAGGTTTTAGGAGTAGATATGAGTCTTGGTATTTTTTGGTTTTATGAGTGCAACTATTAATTCTCAAAGTTTTAAGAGAAGATACAACTCTTGATTCTCCAGGTTTAAGAGTAAATGCAACTATTGGGTCTCTAGGTTTTAAGAGTAGATATAACTCTTGGTTCTCCAAGCTGAAGAGTAGATACAAGTCTTGATTCTTCAGGTATAAGAGTAGTGTTAACCATTAACTTTAAGACCTCTGAATAATGTCGTCTTCAACTTAAAACCTCCTATCGGAGACAAAACCATACCAAATAATTTCAGCCCGCAATTACTTTGTACTCCGCCTCATGGAGCCTAAAACATTTTTTCGTTTATTGTGAAATCATTAAAGTTAAGCAAGAATAGTTTCATATAAAGCATCAGTGAATTTCATTAAATATTCAAAATGTAACTTTTTCAGAAGTTTAAAAAAAAGCATTTCAATACCGATCAACAATAAGTTCCCCTATTATCCCCTATTAAATCGTAAGATTTTTTTTATTATTAACATTTATTATAACATTGTACATGTAACCATGATCTATAATTTATGTTATTTTTTAGGAAATAAAGCTTTTGTTATCGATTTTCTTGAGACGGGACAATTCTGTTGTGTGTATTGCTACGACCGACTGGAAGATAAGAGTCTGGGGAAATAAATATCCCCCACCAGAATCTCAACGGGTCTTTTATTCAAATTTGTCTGGTGTGATGCTGTTATCTGTCAACAAGTAGATACAACTCTTGGTTCTCCAGGGTTAAGAGTAGATACAACTCTTGGTTCTTATGGTTTTAAGAGTTAATATGACTCTTCGTTCTCTAGGTTTAATGTGTAGATAAAACTCTTGGGTTTACAAGTTTGATAGTAGATACAACTCTTGGGTTTTCAGGTTTAAGAGTAGATACAACTCTTGGTTCTCCAAGTTTTTAAGAGAAGATACAACTCATGGTTCTCCAGATTTTAAAAGTAGATAAAACTCCTGGTTCTCCAGATTTGAAGAGAAGATAAACTCTGGATTCTCCAAGTTTTAAGAGTAGATATAACTGTTGGTTCTCAAGGGTTTAAGAGTAGATATAACTGTTGGTTCTCAAGGTTTAAGAGTAGATATAACTGTTGGTTCTCAAGGGTTTAAGAGTAGACAGGGCTCTTGGTTTTCCAGTTTTTAAGGGTAGATAAATCTTGGTTCTCAAGGTTTTAAGAGTAGATAAAACTCTTGGTTCTCCAAGTTTTAAGAGTAGATAAAACTCTTGGTTCTCCAGGTTTGAAGAGAAAAATAATAAATGTTGTCCTTTTTGCCTTGAAAATTTTCAATTTTTATAAACAACTTTACTAGTCATAATTAGTCACTTTTTATAATAATTGATTAATATTTCAGATCTTTGATGAAGATTTTATGCCACTATGTCGATAAAACTACAAAAAATTCGGTACTTAATGTTAAAACCAACAGTTTTAAAAACTATTCTGTATAGCGGAGGCTCTTGTCTGCATAGCGGAGGTTCCTTGCGTCCGGGTGTTCTCTGCCTCTTGGGACACACTGTATATAAAACCCTGGATTCTTCATGCAGTGTCCAATAAAATACAAAACTCTGATTTTTATCTTAAATCATCAGTTTAGAGGGAAAAAATACATTTAAACTTAAAGGTTAACTGTAACTCTGTAAAACTAACTACTATGAAGTATTTCTGTTCAGGTTTTCATAGTTTTGAGTGTAAAGAAAACCTCAGTTGAGTTCTGCAACTGTTTAGAATGATTTATTTAGCTAAGTGTATTTGATATTAGTACATGAAAGAAATTGAACAATGTCGTCTTCTTTATCATTACAATTTGGAATATTTAAATTCAATCTTCCTATCATAGGAGTTAAAGTTTTCAAAATTTTATAAGATAAAACTGTAATGGATTTTCTAAAAAAATATTAGATATTAAAAATTTTTATTTTCACAAATTAACTGAGGCCCAGTAAACTGTGTCATGGATGTCGCCTTTGTTATTCCTTCAACTTAAGAAATTTCGCAATAGATTTTGCAATTTGAAATTGTTGCAATTTTTTAAAAACCTCTCTAAGTTAAAAGAAAAACACAACTTAAAGTTTTAAACCTTATATATCTCTAATCGACCTACAGGGTGTCCCACGAAACATGACAGTATGCAGGACGACTTGAATGTCGTCTTGATTTTTGATATAATTTTAATATTGCCCGAGATATGAAGAATTTCGTTCAGATTTCGACAATTTTGCTTTTAATTAACAAACTTGAAATCTGAACCAAACTCTTTATATCTCAGGTAATATTGAAAGCACAAAAAACGCAGACCACTTTTTGGAAATGCCAGGGCTAGGAGAATTATGTGATAATTGTTTCAAGAATCATACATGTTAAAGTAGATAGAAGACTAAATGTCACAAATAAATTCAAATACCAAAGACGACTTTCAAGTCGTCTTCCTATTGTCATGTTTCGTGGGACACCCTGTACATAAAATCTTTAAAATGTTTATCACTTTTATAAAGATAGTTCTGCTTCAAATTACTAAATTCCTAGGGACATTTAATAATGTTTTAAAAGATTTCTTCACACCCATTGATATACATACATATTACATATTACATAAATTAATGGTTTTATAGAGCTTAATACGTAATCTTTAATTAAAAAACTAAATATCTGCAACCCTTCATTATCAGAAAGTGAAGATTACGACATTTGATAAATTCTTCCGATGTATTCAATATTTAGGGTTTAACTGTAGTAAAACTATTTGTTTTGTAATATTATTAAATATACTCCAGTATTTCTTTAATGTCGTCATAATATTCCACAGTTTACTGGTTCTCACTGCATTGATATAAAATATTTGTCAAAATTCAGGGTGTCCCAAAAAACATGGAATTCAGTGACGAATTCGATATCGTCTTTGTTATGAATTAGCATTGTAATACCTAATTACAAAAGCCATGATATATTTATGTCTGCTAGAGTTTAATTTATGAAAACGGTAAATGGCGGTTAAGATGTGTCAATAATGTATCCGCAAGATGAACAGTGAAGACGGAAAAGTTTACACTGTTTGTATACTGCAATTTTCTTGTTTTACTTTAAGTACAACCTTATGCAGTCAAAACATAAACAAACAAAATGTGAACATAGCAGACGAAACTCTTACAGGTTACAGCTTTCTCAGTAGGTATCACTATACTAAATCAAAGAATTATTTGAAAAGACGATATCGAATTCGTCACTGAATTCCCATGTTTATTGGGACAGCCTGTATCAGGAAATTCGATGTTCTAAACAGAAACATTGAAACGGAATAATCTATTGATTACTTTCAACTACACCTACAGGGAAGGTAAAGGTATTTTACTTTATATCAAGGGTTTTATACGATCTACAAAGACTTTTAAACGACCTGAAACTTTTTTCATTTTAGTTTTTTTGCCGTAAAATATTAGTCTTTTAATGGTACAGGGTGTCCCAAAAAACATGGGAATTCAGTGACGAATTCGATATCGTTTTTGTGATGAATTAGCATTGTAATACCTAATTTCAAAAGCCATAATATTATTATGTCTGCTAGAGTTTATTTTTATGAAAAGGGTATAAGACTGTAAAGATGTGTCTATAATGTCTCCGCATGATGAACAGTGAAGACTGACAAGTTTACTCTGTTTGTATACTGCAATTTTCTTGTTTTACTAAGTAAAACCGCATGCAGTCAAACATAAACAAACAAAATGTAAACATAGCAGATTAAACTCTTACAGATTACAACTTTCTCAGCAGGTATCACTATACTAAATCAAATTATTTAAAACGACGATATTGAATTCGTCACTAAATTCCCATGTTTATCGGGACACCCTGTATATATCAGAAAGGTTTTTCAAAGAGTAAAAAAGTGTTTAAATTAAAGGATACTCGGATGTAAGTACAAGGACTGAAAAAAACCGTTAATCCGTCTCTGAAGTATCATCCTTTGTGGGTAACATTGTAGCTGTTCTTAAATTTTAGAAGTTGTTTAAAGATGTCGTCTTTTAAAGTTTTATTTTTAAGCTTCTTTGCTCCTTAACTTTCAAACTTCCAGTCAATCATTATTTAACAGTTGATTTTAAGAGATTTGAAATTCTTGTTGTTCATGAAAAAGTGGAATGTTTGTATGTAGTGTGGCGGAAAGAATAATTTTTAATTTGGTTAGAGTCTAAATGGAAAGTCGCCTTCTTAAACCTGAAATTATAAACGATAAAAACAGTTTTGAACATTTTTGTTTCATGATTTTCGTTAATTAAGACGATCAGAGCAAATTCAAGCTCATAAATAATCAATGTTTCTTTCCGCTGCACTGGATGCGAAGGCTTTAAAAAAAAATGTAGTTGAAAAACACTTCTGTTTTAGAATTACAAACAGTTTAAGGATACTTACAGTGAGAACCAGAAAAATGTAGAATTGGAAGACGACATTAAAAATACTTTATTTATGTTACTATTATGTTAATTTAATGGTGTTACAAAGTAAATATTAGTGCTACTTTTAGTAGTAGTATTCATTACTACTCAGTACTCAAATATTGAGTTTTTTGGATTTATCAAAAATCCTATCATTATATATTAATTGTTACTTGACCAATTATTAGTTTATTCACATTGAGAAATAAATCTCTCATCCAAGAAGAAAATTACAAAAGCAAAAATGGCTTGATTTTCAGATTATGTAGATATGTGAGCATAGAGAAATATACAGTGAAACCCTTAATAACGAATAGATCGAAAGAATCGAAAGAATTCATCAAATGTCGTATTCTTCACTTTCTGATAACTGTTCCCGCATATTTATGGCTATATATTTATTTTCACAAATACAGAAATTTACGTAATATAGTATAAAACTCATTGAAAAATTGTCAAGACGACATTTGATAAGTTCTTCCGATGTACTCGTTTTTAAGGGTTTCACTGTATGCAAAAAGTACATATGAGTTTCTCCTGTGGTTAAATTTAGAGCTTTCAAAACATAAGAATTTTCTCTGCAATAATGATAAACAGATTTGGTAATTTGTTTATTAAATGCTCCTGCTGGGTTTCTACAGTGAAACCCTTAATAACGAATACATCGAAAGAATTCGTCAAATGTCGTATTCTTCACTTTCTAATAATGGAATGTTGCAGATATTTAGTTTTTTAATTAAATGATTATATGGAACTCTTTAAAACTGTTCCCGCATATTCATGGCTATTTATTTATTTTCGCAAATACTGAAATTTACGTAATATAGTATAAGACTCATTGAAAAATTGTCAAGACGACATTTGATAAATTCTTCCGATGTATTTGTTATTAAGGGTTTCACTTTATGCAAAAAGTACTTATGAGTTTCTATTGTGGTCAAATTTAGACAAAGAGCTTTCAAAACAAAAAAAATTTTCTGCAATTATGATAAAAGATTTGGTAATTTGTTAATTAAATGCTCCTGCTGTGTTTCTGCTATTTTCTAACAAGCATCCTAGAATTGTGAAAATTATGGCCTTTTCAAGCAAGAAATAGGAAAAATAATTTTAATCTTTGCCTCTTATTTAAAGATATATGCTGATAGAAATGTTGATTTTGTTTTCCATGAGTTCAAGAGTTCAAAAGAGTTCAAGAGTTTCAAACGTCTTAAAAATACTAGCATTAAAATTGCATGGGATGATGGGAGAAGCGGAAATATTTCTCTATGCCCATAAAGCTTGGATGTGTACATGTCAGATTTGGTTCTCAATGTGAATTAACCAATATTTGGTCAAGTAAAAACATACAATGATCAGAGTTTTTGTAAAAACCTAATATTTGATTATTAATAAATAACTTATTTAGTGAAATGAGTCTGTGTATACTTTCACACTGTCTGTAGACTATTCGAAGTTATAACTTGAGTCTAAAACTATTTTTTTTATTCCCAAGTTTTCGGGTTCTCACTGTAAACATTATTTAAAAAATATATATTCGTCATGAATTGCAATTGATTTGGATTCGGGAATCCTAGACTGTAAATAGTTTTACACATAAACCTAGTTTGTAAATGTAAAACACCCCATCACAGTATATTAACGTTGCAATGCCCCCACCCCCCTCATAATGTTGAAACATATTAATGTTGCCTCAGGTCCCCCACGTAGAGACTAATTACGACCCTTCACACTGGAAATTAATTGTGTTATTTCATTTATTTTCGATAAAGTTTATTTATATTTACAATATATAATACAGAATGGATTTCTAGATCTAATCTTCAGATTTCTCCTCCTTCGCTTCCTTCTCCCCCTTCTCCTCCTCCTTGCTCTCCTCCTCCTTCTCCTCCACCTCCTGACTAACCTCGTTCTCCACGGAAATGGTGTCAACCTTCACGACCGGGTACTCTTCATAGGGGACATAGTTCTTCACCCACTTCTCCGTCTCCTCCGTCTTATTCTTCCTCTCCGCCTTCTCGGAGTCGAATCCCTTGTTCTCAACTCCGTTCTCTCTCTTCTCCGTGGTGTCCACCTCGTCGATATTCTTCTTATCCTTCTTCCTCTTCAAGCTTCGGTTCGTTATCTAAACATTATTATAAATTAGTTAAATACTTATGTAGATTAGAATGGAAAACTGGTTTCAACTTGTGGCGTTAAGATATTTGTTATTTAACCTAATCCGTCTCTCTGATTAATATCGTACCCTGAGCTAGAGAGGTTTAGGATTGTTCCAGCTCAAGGAGTTGAGAGGCATTCAAATATTAATTCAAACCGACAACCCTGAGACTAAAACTTTAAAAAGCAAATAGTCGAAGCCGAGTTTGGGAAACTGAAATTAAGTTTTTGCTGTTGCAATTTTTTTTATTTAAGGACCCAATTCTTAATAAAAGTAATTTTTAAGAACATATTTGTAAGGTTTTCGATACCAGTAGTTTTATGTGCCTGCAAAGCAATTTTATTTTATCAAGAAATAGCTCCGACCAAAATATTAATAAAGAATTAAATATTTAACAATTATTCTTATAAGAGTAAGCGTAATTAATCATAGTAGATAAAAAAGATGAGAAAAATTTATTTTTGATAAATTCAATCATATTTTGTTTATCCAATTCAAAAAATAATCACGTTGCAAGATTTATCAATTTTACTCTAATTTTTTTTATATTTTGCACTAGAGAAAGAAAAAATTAATTGTTGTTTTTGGTAACGTCCAAAATAATTGATATCTATTACCCATTATCGGGAAAAGTGTTTTTTTTTTCCTATGTGGCCATTAATAAATATTACTTTTTTTCTAGATCAATTAATTTAAGGGTTTATTCCTTTAAGGGTTTTGTCCTATATGATCTAAGATAACTATTTGCAATCTTTTTTCTTCAGATTTTACGAAAAAATTTTAATTCACTGAACCTCGATACCTTGAAAACTAAAATCTTAAGACCAATAAGCATTCTCCCCACTTCCCCTCACCCCCCACCATCCCTTTCGAACGGTCAAAACCCCATTGTTAAGATTGCAAATTCGAGGATAATGAAAAACTTATTCATTCTGACATTCTACTCCTTGGATAGGATACTTCTAGTTCTACTTCTTGGATAGAATACTTCTAGTTCTACTCCTTGAATAGAATACTTCTAGTTCTACTCCTTGGATAGAATACTTCTAGGTCTACTCCTTGGATAAGATACTTCTAGTTCTACTCCTTGGATAGAATACTTCTAGTTCTACTCCTTGGATAGGATACTTCTAGTTCTACTCCTTGGAAAGGATACTTCTAGTTCTACTCCTTGAATAGGAAACGTCTAGTTCTACTCCTAAAATATAATACTTCTAGTTCTACTCCTTGGATAGAATACTTCTAGTTCTACTCCTTGGATAGAATACTTCTAGTTCTACTCCTTAGTTAGGATACTTCTAGTTCACTCCTTGGATAGAATACTTCTAGTTCACTCTTTGGATAGAATACTTCTAGTTCTACTCCTTGGATGGGATACTTCTAGTTCTTCTCCTTGGGTAGAATACTTCTAGTTCTTCTCCTTGGATAGAATACTTCTAGTTCACTCCTTAGATAGAATACTTCTAGTTCTACTCCTTGGATAGAATACTTCTAGTTCTACTCTTTGCATTGGTGTTAACCTTTAACATATCAAACTTAGACTATTTGATCCCATAGTATTCATTGATGGAAATACATTTAGTTGAAAGGTTGTAAAGATATAAGGATTAGACAATTATGTTTCTATAAGAAATGTAAAGATGAATCTGTAAAGATGAATCTCCACAGAATGATTAAAAACCAGTTTTAATAGAGTTTTAAATTCCAGATGTTAAAAGTACGTAAATTTTAAAATTTCATTAATGAATATAATTGAAAGTAAAAGATCCAAGATATAAAACATAATTTCTCTCTTTCTTAATTCTATCTTTAGAGCTTCTATGCATTATTTATCGTCTTTTCCTCCTCTTTCTTTCTCTACTTTTCCTGATTTAATGATAGGTGACTTGGGTTACTATCTATCTACCTATCCCACAAGGTATCCAGTGCATACCAGTTAAATATCACATTCTTGGCACATTCAAACCAATACAAAACCAGTTTCTAGTCTTTCTAGGACCCTTTTCCCTTTTCCTTCAGGATAATTGATTTTACATTAAAAATTTATAATGTTTTAATGTGAGAAATATTTTGTAGAAAAAAATATTATCCCTTTTCTGTACTCCCATTCAATTTCATTCTTTCATTCATTCTTCTCCCCTCTCTGAACTATAGTTTAAAACTTTAATTCGTATTTCTCCCCCCCCCCCACCTCTCCCCTTACCAACTTGCCCCCCCTCTTTTCAACCAGAGGAGAAAGGGTGTGTACTTGAACTTATGAAAAGTTTATATTAATTGATTAATTGATCAATAATGGTTGTTAGAGGGGGGAAGGGGGAGAGGATCCGGGGGGCATTGATTGGGTTATTAATCTAACAAATATACCCTACACGTATTAGAAGGGATACATTTGAATAATGTATAACATAGCTCTATACTATAAGAAGCAGGAGGGAATGGTGGAGGGGGGGGGGGTAAAAGGAAAAGGGGGTAAAGTGATGGTGGAAGGATTTCAATCAATTCTAATCTTATTATAAATTTATCTGAGAGAGTAACTAACCTCGTATTTACTAGTTCCTCCAGTAGCTCGGAGTATAAATACACAGATCTGGAGTGCTGCGGCTAGGAGACAGAAGAATAGAATTGTAATCCATAATCGCTTAGAGACCTAGAAAAAAACAATACTTTAAATATATTTTATATATTCAAAAATAAGTTCTGTGAATATTAAAAGTATCTTAAAGTCCTAGTAAAACTATTGTTTTCAGCGTAAGTCTATATATGCATGCATACTTTAATATTTTAAACAATGCTTGACAATGAGTTATTCTTTGCTATTTATTTAACATAAATGAACAAAATTAAATAAATGAAATGAATGAAAAACAACATACCCCTCCCCAGGCCCCCCATTCAAGAAAAATTAAAACTTACCAATAGCTGTGATTCCGCAATAGCGCAGCCGGCGATAGAGATACATATCGTCAACAAACAGATAAACTAAACAATAATTAGATATTGCTATCAGATATATAAACAAGTACTAGATATAGCTATTAAATATTTTAAACGGTGATAGATATATTAAATAGTGGTGTTTATCGGTAACAGACATGATAAAATAAACATTGATATATATATATATATACAATAAATACATTTTATATATTTTTATCAAGTATAAACTATTGACTATATTTTACTGTAATGTTAGTAGAGTATAACTGTACTGTATTGTTATCAAGTACTATACTTACAGTACTATACATTATATGTATTATGTACTGTATAACTATTGTGAATTTATTGTTGTATGGAATTTTCAGAAAAACCATTAAATATTTCTGCAATAATTACATTTTAAAAAATATATGTATTATGCAGTTCTCAAACCTGCCCTACCCTAATCTACTGCATTTCATACTAAAGATGCAGATATATAATGGTACAAACCAGAATTCAATGACTAATATGGAGATAAGACTAAAAATGAAAGAATATATATTAAATTCACCATGAATCTGATGTTATTTTTTATTAAACATGTTATTCATTACAAAATAACTCCCTGGCGTAATATTAAAACTTTTTAGAATTTAAAACCTGCGTAAAGGATTTAGTTTTTCTATCTATTAAGGCTAAATTGTTGGTGGATTTCTTAATTAATTGTTGGGTTGTTTGGGTTGGTTAATTTCTTAATTGGCTGATTCATTGGTTAATTGGTTCGTTGATTGATTAGTTGGCTGGTTAATTTCTTACTTAATAACTGATTTGTCGGTTGGTTGGTTGGTTGGTAGATTGATTAGTTGGTTGATTGACTAGTTGGTTGAATACCTAGTTGGTAGGTTGATTTATTACTTATTAACTGATTTATCGGTTGGCTGGTTGGTTGATTAATTAGTTGGTAGGTTGATTTGTTGGTAGGTTGATTTGTTGGTAGGTTGATTTGTTTCTTATTAACTAATTTTTCGTTTGTTCTTTTCCAAAAAAGTCCAACGTAATAATTTTTATCTGAACTTTTTTTATAGAAAATTGATTCTGTCTAAGATCTATTTTTCTTAGAACTGTTTTTTTTTAATCCAAGTATTTTCTCTCCGAAAATTTATTTTTAGCACTTTTTCTCACTTTTTTGTCCGATGAAAAACATTCAGAAACAATAAAATATTTCTTTTAAAAGTTCCACTTTTTGTCTTACTTAGAGATGGAGACTGTTATAAAGAATATTAAGAATATATTTCTATATATCTATCTGTCTATCTATTAGTATATATATATATATATATATATCTAAATCTATCTACAAATATATATATTTTTCCTTTTTATGTTTATATGTGTTTCTGATATGTCAAAACCTACTCACATCTTCATGCCCTTTCAGTAAATCAACAATCTTTCGATCATTAATTTAATCTTTCTTTACTACCCATCATAGTTTACAAGATGCTTTCTATTTATCATATTTTACTAGATGCTATCTATTTATCATATTTTACTAGATGCTATCTATTTTTCATAATTTACTAGATGCTATCTATTTATCATATTTTACTCACGTTGATTTAACGGTTCTGTCAATATTCCAGAAAGCTGTGACTTTCGATCACAATTTGACCCATTAAACACAATTTTTAGCCTTTTTTCTGAAATTCTTTTTTGTCGGCATATACATTTTGAATGATAATTTAAAGATTTAAAAATCCGTAAGGTAAAAGATTGTTGAATTATAGACCAAAACACGTTTAATTTCAAATAGTAGAAACCGAATGCTGCTCCCTCTGGTTAGTCCGGTGTGAGATTTATTTATCATATTTTATAAGATGCTATCTATTTATCGTATTTTACTAGATGCTATCTATTTATCATATTTTACTAGATGCTATCTATTTATCGTATTTTACTAGATGCTATCTATTTATCATATTTTACTAGATGCTATCTATTTTTCATGATTTACTATGAAGGCCCAGATATCGGAAATTTGGACTAATAAAATTGTGACTCCTACCGAAATTATGCAATTGGAATACTGTTTTTTTATCACTGTTGTCAGTGATTTTTAGCCAACTTATGAATCTACTTTTCTTTTCGAGATTATATTTAGCTTTTATCTTTTTCATTTCTTCCTTTGGTTTTGAGTTTCAATCTGAGCGGATTTTTAATCTTTCATTATTTTAAACTGTAAAGCACCAAAATAACAGATTTGTTAATTTCATCATCCACTAACAGCTTTTTTGTCTACGCTTTTTTTGAGTATAAAGGAGCCTCAAAGGGGCAATTCAACTAAGCATATTTTAATAGGGTTTAATTTAATCCTAAAGATTGGGATAGATGAATGAAATCATAGAATATGAGTTGCCTTTATTATTTTAGTCATTTGGATCTAAGGTCGATGACCTCCTTTTTAATAGCTGCAAAATCGTTAAGAAAAATTTAAACGAGTTTATCCAGAAATCTCTGCTAAATTACGATAAATTTCAAATTGTGATATCATGATTAAACATTAGATAGATTTCAAATTGTGATATCATAATTAAACATTAGATATATTTCATGTACAATCCCTAAAAGTATATTTTATTGAATAAAAGTCCTACTTTACTTTGTTTAATGAACACAATGTGCGCTTGCTCAGTTTTTCTAAAAGGAGTTGTCTGATTGCCTCGCTTTGCTTACTTATAATTAGATCAGGATATTTTTCTTTTTCTCCGAGACAGGAAACTAATACTTTTCAGGGAACTGAACCCAACCTGTTTTATCCGTGTTCCCAATAGACCTGGAGAAAAAGACCGGAGAAACCAGACAAAAACTGAGAAAACTAAACCTCAAGAGATTGAATATACAGAAACATTTATCTCAAGGATGCTTACAGAACATTACGCCCCTAACCTCCCCCCCCCCTCCTTCAATTTCTTTCTTTATTTTCTTTTATTTACATTGTTTTTGGTCAAGCTTATCTCATCGAAAACCTTAATATTCTTTTAGTAATTGTTAATATATATAGATAGATAGGAGGATGAAGGATGGAAGGATGAATGGATGAATGGATGAATACATGAATGAATAGATTAATTATATTTCCCCCCGACGACCGAATGAAAGATATCGAGGGAGACGTTTAGTCCAAAAGAAGAAGATATTGATTACAGTCAGAAGTAAAAAACTGTCTGGTTCGGTAATCAGTAAACAAACATACATATATAGTACACAAACAAACACACTTTACAGTACACAGTACAACGAACGCTTATATACACAGTACACCAACATGCATAGTACACAAACATACATAGTAAACAAACGTAACAGTTCCCTGTACACTGCAAATATAAACTGTACGTCACGCAAAATACAGTACAAAAAGTACATACTAAATACATACTTGTCTGCATATATGTCAAATATCTATTAAGGATATTAAAAAAAAACGATATTAATTGAATGTTAACCTTGTTATGTTTTATCCTCTTAGGGATAATCTCATTTAGAGTACTTAAAGAAGTTTATATATCTATGAGTACTCTTACTTAACTAAGTACAAAACGATCTTTAATCTATATTTATGTATATAAAGGTCGGGACCCAATTGGTCAAAATTTTGTGTGGGGCCGGCATGGTACAGAAAAAGTACTTTTTAGTAATTTCAAAAATAAAAAGATTATTAAAATAAAAAAATATGAGTCACGGTAAGCGCACTGAATTTCCACATTTATATTTACATTCATTCTTTACAAAGGTCACTTACTACAGTAGTTGTTTAATAAAAGTAAAATAGTCGATGCGTTGAACATTTGCTGGGTTTATGAAACATGAAAACATCAGGGACAGGGGACCAGGTGGATGATAAAGCGCAAACTAAACATTTCAAGAAGTTACTTATTTTGTTGTGTTTCTACAAAAATACTGGAAGATCAAAAACGCTTTGATTTCTTTACTAAAAGAATTATGTCTATGCCACAAACTCAAATTTTCTTATACTTATATCTTTGAAACCTGATGGTGTAAACCTTTAATATTTAAAACTTAGATTATTTTATCTAACCAAATTCACAGTTAAAAATATACAAGGTTTACAACATTGGATTGGAAAAATATAGGGTTTAGAAAAACGATTCTGTGGCAAAAACTCAATTTCTTTGTTCTATGTTTTTTTTTGTTTCATGGATACAACTTCAACATTATGCGTATTAATATCCCGAACATTTTCGTAAATGTTTCTTAGAAACTGTTTAATTCAACCTAAATCCTCTAGGTGAATACATTTTATATAGATTTCTAGATCAGATTTTAGGCTTACTTCCCCCTTTTTGATTAATATCTAATACTAAGTTTGTAGATTCAGGGGTTTGATAATGATTGATCTGTTTCACTTCAAAATATGATCTTAAAACCTGACAAAAATTGGAAAAATTGGGTTTATTTACTTAATTCTAGTTTAAGGACGGGATGTATGGTTGACTGAAGATGATAAAAAGATTGGTGCTGGATAATAGAAATTGGTTTAGAGAAGGTTCAGGGATAAATACACTGCATACTCATACTGTATTTATAAAAATAAAGTAATAATCTCTGTTTGTTTGTTTCTATGTAGGATCATAATTTATTAAGCTCTTGACTGATTTGCCTCAAATTTTGACTGGGGAACTCAGTAGAACCACGGGAATGTTCTGAGCTAGGTTTAAAAGTTTTAAGTTGAGAAGTACAACTTTTGTAGCAAAAAACTTAGTTTCCAGGAAAAGCTGGGTTCCTGTGCTAGTACTGTTATATACTCTACTAGGTATAATCTATTCCAATTGTGAACATTTTCTCTTTGTTAACATTGTAAAACACACACCAAGAAAGTTCGATGATGTTTTAAAAAAATTTTGTTGGAGGCCATTTTTTAAATTTTGGTCATCCATAAACCTTCCCTGAGGTCATGTGAGGTCCCACAAAAAAATCGGACCGATCAGTTCGGCGTTTTTAGGTTTATTGGATAAAAACAAACAAACAAAAATACA